AGTACACCAACCAGCATGCCCCTTGTCAAACACTGCAAGTATGCAATATGCTTAAGAAAAATCTCCTTTCTCCCCCTTCTTGAATTGAATTGTGTTCTTCTCTTGTGTGGGCTTGTGTAGTTGTCGGAGGCAGGGAGGAGCTGGGAGGAGGTTTGGTTGCTCTCACCTAATGGGCACAAGGCAGGGTACATGGCACACGTCCTGTGAGAAGGGCTCAACTACAACTTGGACTTTACTCAATCGAATGCAAACAACGTAACTTAACTGTGTGTGCCCTTGTATTCATCTGAAATAAAAGGAAAAAGAAGTCTCCTTACCTCTCAGATTCTGTATTTCTCCATTTATCTGAGATACTCCCAACCGACAGGAAAATCATAGTAAGTTCAAAGTGAGTGTGGTAAGGCCAGCAGAAAAATACAAAAACCATTGCTCCTCATCTCAGGGAATAATTTATTTCACAGGGTTAATTTTAGCTTTGCAGTTTTTTTACCTGTGATTATTTTAAAATCGCAATTGTGTGCGTGTGATATAAAATCAAAAAGGTAATCAAACTTCTCTGCCAATCCAGGTGAAATTTAATTATCAGCAGTTACCATTAAAACAAAGGCAAAGCAATTTCTTTTACACATAATTGCATAAGGAGTATTCCAGAAGAAAATTTCTGAAAAATCCAAAGTCTAAAAGACGACTGCTCAATGAGAACATCTGTTTCGATAATGAGATCGTGTTTTGTAGTATGGGATCCATGAAATTTCTAGTTATGCACACATAAGCCTTGCTAGAATTACTATAGTTCAGTTTTGCCATAGAAATACGGAAGACATTTATATGTCACTGGTTATGATCCCACCATAAGAAGTAATACAAATTCCTATTTATCATTTCTAGAATCAACACCAGTTTGACAGCAGAAAATAACAGTATTTGCTTGGCCCACATTACTGTTGTATAGAATCCAGAGAAATAAACACCTCAATCCATTCAGTAATGTTCTTTACTCAATTAAGGTTTTGATGCCTCTGCACATAATACTGATTTTATAAATCTTTTTTTATTTACATTTTAATTTGAAGAGTCTCTGTTGACTTCATTTTTATAAGTATGCTTATGTTTTCAAAACGTTAGCTTCTTATCCTAGGGGTACCTTTAATATTTAATTTTTTACCTTGTTCAGTCACTAGAAACATTTCGTAGCTTCTTTATTTGTTACTTCACTTGGGTTGATTTTTTTGACTGTGAAAGGGCCCATTTGGCAATCATATTACTAACATGCAAAAAGTTTTATGTCAATTATAAAGGGAAATGTAACCCTTGATTATTAAGGAACCTGTTTTGCCAATCAACCATTGTTTATTTCAGAATATTATCAAGTATCATAGGCTGGATTGAAAGCTTAAGGATAGGGATTTTTTTTTTTTTTTTTTGCAATTTAAAATAATAGAGGTAATCAAATCTTCCTGCCAATCTAGGTGATTGTGAAATTTAATTACCAGCAGTTGTCATTAAAACAAAGATAAAGCAATTTCTTTTGCATATAATTAAATATTCCAGAGGAAAATTTCTCGAGTTCTCAGAAAATATATTTTAAAATTAATTGTAACCTGACTGTTTCATTTGTTAGGTCTCAGTTGGTCATGTAGAATAAATGGCATACTTGGGTGATACAGTTCAACGGCACCTAGTGAGCACATGTTCTCAGGAAGATCGGATAACTTTGACCTTAACACTGAGTAAATTATCAGATCTTTGCTCTGTGCAAACACAGCCAAACCTAAGTCTCCCACAGCTATTCTGCCAAGAGAGGTTTACCCCATGTTGAGTTCATCTCTCCCTACAGTGAACGCTACAGAATCAACAATCCTTTTTTAGTGCTCAATTGTCCAAATATGTCCTAAGGCTTCCAGAGCTTTTTTCATCAAACCCATGCCACCCGAACAGGAAGAAAATCTTGTACATCAGCAGCAGCAGTAAGTGAGGCATCAGCTCTGGGCATGACTGGCCTAGAAGCATAACTGTCCAGAGAAGAGGGACCACCCGACAGAAGGATGAACAGCCCAAGCAGAGTCAAAATAAGGCCACGACTTCCCCAGCTCCAAGCCTTTGCCTAAGCTCTTCCTTCTCCCTAAAATGCCTTTCTCTCTATGTGTTTTCTGGAAAAGTCCTACTGATCCTACAGTACCCAACTCCTATGTCACCTGCAGGAATCCCTCTAAACTGAGACAATCACTCTCTTTCCCTGCACCCACCTCCAGAGCACTCATTTTGTCACCCTGGAATGCAGGTAGCTATTTGCCGGTCCAAAGAGTGAAAGATCTTCACTCTTCTCTCAGTACTATGGCTGGAACATGGAAGACCACTCAGATGATGTTATATAATGAAGCCCAAAATTCAAGATCAAAGTGAACATAGGACAGAAGATTTCTGCAGCTCAAGTCTGAGCAATGAGTGCCTTCTTTTTCATTCCTTAAAGGAGTAAAGTTTATTCACATTAGGGACTTAATAACTGTCAGGCCCTGTGCTAAACCTCTACACTTGTCATCTCACTTAATTACCACAATCCTCTATAAAGTCGGTCCTATCATTTGTATTAGCTTTATTTACAGATGAGGACATTGACTTACTTTTCTAAGTTAAGTAACTCACCCCAAGATACCCAGATGACCAATTAAGAGTCAGGATTAAAAAAAAAAAAACAAACAACAACAGTAATTCCAGAAATACAGAGCTAGAAGGAATCCTAAAATTATCTTCCACACTTAACCTACTTGAAGCTAAAGCTTGCATCTTATTGCCTGGCACACAGTAGGTCCTTGAAAATGGCCATGAATAGATGGACAGAGTGTCCTAATTTCTCAGACTCTGGCTGCTGCCTGAGAGAGCCCAGCTGCCACCACAAATAAGCTCTATTCTTTCCTGCCCAACACCTCTCCCAGGTGTGAATTGCTTGTGTCATCTGAATTATTCATGATCTACACAATGGTAAGTGTGCTTTAAAAAAGAATTCTGTATGTTTTAAGAGAAAGTACCTGATTAATTGGTGAATTAGGCAACATAAACTCATGGACCAGGTTGATTCATGCCACATAATATATCCATACCCACTTTTTGAATTTCAGCTTTCATGTTACTTCCCAGTTTCCAAAACAGAGTGGTAAATAAAGCACGGAAGAAAACCATCATAGGCATCTCTGTCCTATCTGCAAAGCAATTACCATCATCTAAAGCTTATACTGTGCTGCTTCAAACCAACATAAGCTTCCTAAGGCTGAGTTAGGATTTCCAATCAGTTTTCTTAAGCTACATCAAGATCTGAAGATGCAGATGCCACAGCATCTGTAATTTATGCCCCCAGTAAATCGTGTCATAATCCTGCCTCCTGTCCTTTCTCCAGTCTCCACTTTGCCACCTCTTCCCCACCAGTGGGCAGCTTTCTGAGCGGGATAACCATACGCTAATAAAAACCCAACATCACTGTGCTTTAAATTCAATGTTAGTCAACCAAAATGAATTGAAAAGCAGCAGCAGTGGTTGGAAGGTACTAAAAATAAGCTGTAGCATTTGCTGAGTTCTCAGAATTAAAACCACAGGCGGTCAACTTGTTGCTGCTCTTAATAAGATATGTCTGTTCTGCCCCATTGGCTGCTACTACCAGAAACTTGAATGGCATTGTACACCTAATACCCTGTTTTTGATTAGTTGGCAGTAATCAAGAAAGGAAGTGCCATTTCCCTGAACTAACCCTTCCCAAAAAGATAACAGATGGGCTTCGAGTGATCACCTTTTGCCACATCACAATTGCACCTGAGTGAAATTCACCTTGCAATTATTATTTAATTAATTACACACTTAAAAATGTGGTTTCTTTTATGCCTGGCTTGCTGTCCAATACCTCCGAAAAAGTGTTTCTTCCTTTGAGTTTAATCTATGGATAATAATAAAAAGAGCACAATAGGACTTAACACAGTATTATCACATAGAGCATTTCCATTAGGATTTCAAGACCTTCTTGACCCTTGAATACTGTAAGCTACACTAAATGTCCTATCAGCTGTCCCTTCAGGGTTTGGCATTCAAGTTTCCAGTGACCAGAGAGGTAGAGGAATTCTACTCAATGCATCATTCTGATTAGAAACCTGTCATACTCAGAAACCAGTAGGTCCGCTTCTATTGACTCCCGCGGCTTTAGATTCATTAGCATTTTTTTCTCTTCAATTAGACCCGCGGATCAATCCTAGAAAAGCTGAAAGAAGCCCACCCTTTGCTCAGTCACACTTAAAAGGATAAACAAATGTATGCCTTGCTAGTGAAATGACAGAGTAGTATAAGAAAATGTCTAAGGCGCTCTCTCTCTCGCTCTCTCTCTCTCTCTCTCTCTCACACACACACACACACACACTTTTAAACGTGCCAAGAGTCAGACCCTGGGCTCTACTTCCCTTCCAGAACCCACTTCAATCCGGACCAGAAAGACACAATCCCTTCATCGCTGCTATCTCAAAACCATGCCCCAAGCAAGTGTCTCCACAGAGCTAATTTCTGAAACAAACAAAGAAAATCAAGTCTGCGAGGGGCGAGGGTTCGCGCCCCTCTGCTGTGGACTTGGGTATCCTGGGTCGCGGGCACCGCACGGCCAACAGGTCCGGGCGCCCAGCGTCGCCCTCCGCCTCCCGCCCCGCCAGCCCCGCTCCCGCTGCGCGGAAAGTGCGAGCCTGCCCTGCTCCTTTCGTTTCTCTCCCGCTGCGCCCCGAGCCCCAGAACAGCCGCGCCGCGCAGGGAGGGTGCCACGGCTCCACCACCTCCACGCTGTCAGATGTCAGGCGCGGGGGGTGCCGAGGGCACCGAGGTGCTGGCAAAACCAAACAAGTGTCCCCCTGACGCCTGCCCCCACTCCGACAGAGCGGTGGGACGGCCACAGGTAGGCTCTATCCTTCCCAGGGTGCGGGGCCAGGGCAGGGGGAGAGACCCAGCGCAGCAGCCGCGCCCGACGGACTGAAACTCACCGGAGGACACCGAGGAGCCGGACAGGCTGGAGTTGCTGGACGCTGCCATCTCCGCGCGCCCCGCGCGTCTCTGCTCGCTCAGCCCCTCTGCGGGCGCCTCTGCCGCTGCCCTCGCCCGGCCGCTCGCAGCCTCCGCGGCCCCCAGCCCATGGCAAAGTCCTGGGGACGCGCGAAAGCACCAGCCTCCGGACTCAGCCTGCACTTCCTGCTCCACCAGATGACGCGCTGCTGCCGCCGCTATTTATTTGTGGTTTCCGTCCCTCTCCGCGCCTTTGCACGCTTTTCTCCGGGTGTCGGGGGAGAGGTGGGGACAGAGGGAGGGCGAGGGGCAGCTGGGCCGACCGATGTCGGCTCCTACCGAGTCCCACTGCCGTCAGCGCTCCCCCGTGCGCGGCGGGGACCAGGGCGCCCGGGCGGCCCCGAGCCGCCCCGCCGGGTCCCGCACCCTCCCCTGGGTTCCCGCCTCCCGGGCCGCACTTCTGGCAGCCTGGGCGAGGACGGCGGGAGGCAGACAGACAGAGCGACCTCCCCCTCTCCCTCCGCCCCAACTCTGCTCGCGCGCACACAAAGGAAGGAGAGGAGACGCGGGCGCTCGGGGGCTGCTTCAGCTGCCGCGGGCTTGACAGCTCCCGCGACGGGGGCTGGAGGGAGAGGCTGCGGACCGCAGGGCGGGGGCAGGCCGGACGGGGAGCGGAGCCCCGAGGTGCTGGGAGGGCGCGGGGGCGCGGGCCGACCGCAGCGCTGAGCTAGAGTGTAGAGGGGACAGGAGGGAGGGTGTGGAGGGAGAGATGGGGCTGGCTTCGCCACGCCTGGCTCAGGAGCGGCGAGACAGCCAGGGTGGGGGATGCGTTGAGCCAAGGCGGGACCACTGAGGACACGAGCGCCAGGCAGAAAGGGTCCGGGATGCCAGAGCGGCTGTGTAGTGTTTCTCCCACTCCTCTCCAAATTGTCCTTTGTTGCTCTGGAGCTGATAGCCCCTGCCCTGCAAGAAGGTGCGTTTCCTAAAACACCGGGAAACCCCAGCCAGCCGCACTTCAGAAGCCCAGCCATGGCCAGTGCCCGACGGGTCCGCTGGGCCCCTGAGGCTGGCCTTCAAAGAAATAGAGACGTGCCAAATGTGTCATCAGGCCCACACAAAGCCGGGTGTCAATGAGAAAGAGGTTCTACGACTGCTGAGCCTTGCAAGGGATCCTCACAAAAGACTTCAGACTTGGCAGCCGGTCAGACTGTGCCCTTTCAGGATAAGGAACTGCTTAGGTGTTTGAGAGGAGACTCAGGCACAAGGTGGATTACCTTCCCCCTGCATTTAAACCTAAATTAATTTCACTGGGAGGAAATATCGTGCAGGTTTTTTTTAAAAGTCTATTTCACGCTCCCAGCAGGCTAATCGGTTCTTTCAATCCTAAAGCAACAGAAAACTGTGAAATTTGAAGAGAAATTGTTAGATCAAAGGAAAAAGCAAACATTAAAGGAATAAAAGTGCTCTCATTATGTAGCAAAATGGAAAGTGTTCACATTGGGTAGTTCAATTTTTAAAAACATGGTTAAAAGGACATAGTCAATTTAAAAATTATCAGGAGTGACACTGGAACAGCAGCCAGGTCCTGGGGGATCGCCTAGCATACAGTGAATAATGCATGTTAAGTAACCACAATATACACCCACATCACATTTCCTAGTTGATTTAAACTGTGTTTTAAAAGTTCCCTCCAGGATGCCATCCCAGTTGTCTTCCCAGTAAGGTTCTTTTTCTTCTTCTTTTTTTTTTTTTTTTTCAATGCACCTTGCTGAATAGTTAAGGACTGTGAGCTCTCCAGTCACATTGGACGGCGCCTTCCTGACCCTCACCTGCACAGACCTTGAAGCAGCCCTGCCTGATATAAGGAGACTCAAGCACCACCCCTTTCCCAACCTGCTACCACCATTTACCTTTTGTACAGTGCACACTTCATGCAGCCTGATCTGGAACCCTTCAAGGAAGTGTGGCCCATCACACCTTTGACCTCTCAATCAGGGCAGAACTTCCTGTTTCCCCAGAGTCTTATCCTTGTTTGATGAATCATCTACATATCCCTCTAGATCTTTAGATAGTGGACGATCTGACTTGGCTGTGACCTGCTGGGATTGTTCCCATCTGGACTTTGATGACAACACTTGGGTTCAAACTCCAGTTCTGACGCTTAAGACGCTTACCTGTGTGTCCTTGGGCAAACTACTTCAACTGGCTGAGCCTTTAATGTGAAGATTAAAACAATGTATCTGGTATAAAGTTTGTGTTCCAGAAGTCACTTGAAAGATTGAACATACACTTTGAACTTTTGCTCTCTCCATTGTATCTGAAGATCACTAATCATCTGTGAATTCTTCTACCAGAGGAAATGGCTCATCTTTGGCCTAAGGTGTGAACTTCTTATCCCCAGTTGTGCAATAGGCAACAGGTTTCATTATTTCTCTCTTAAGTCTTCCCAAAGAATGTCAGATTCTATTTATATAATTTGAGATGGTAATATTTGCCTGCAACGGGCTTTCGTTAGTTGGAGAAACTAAAGCATGGCCCTGTGAAATAGGTTATTTTTATTATTCCAAATTGGTAGATGAAGGCCAGAGGGCCACATGGTAAGAAGGCACTAACACTGTGCTATACAAAGTAGAAAATAACAGACTCATTGTTTTTCCTACTAGGTCCTGAGTCAAGAGGAAGGGTAACAAGGCCAACAAATCTGCTTGCCCAGCAAAGATATGATGACTGGGGAGGTCCAGCCTGTTGGTAGAAGGTGGACCATAACACTGACGCCCATTATTTTGAAAAACAGACAGAGCTCCAGGTTCAGAATTAAAATCTTAAAATTAATTGATCACCTGGATCATCAAAGCCATAACCAAGGGAGAAAAGCCAGCAGGCATGATCATTCACTATCAGTCTTAGATTTTGGAGGCCTAAAGGCTGAGTGCTCCTTGCAAAAATGTTTCACATCAACTAATTAGCAGGAGATGGCTGAAACAAAAAAGCCAACTCCCTCCTCAGTAGACTCAGGAACCTGTTTGTGGATGTTACAAAGTATTTCTCCAAATGAAAGGAGAAAATCAGCTCATCTATTTAGTTCACTCACTTATGGCCTTCATTCTAGAGAATTTCTATTTGCTAATAGACAAGGAAATACTGCTGCTACAAAGAGCTTAGATTTAGTTGAAAGGTAGAATTTCTATAGTCATTTCTACCTTTTGTATTCAAATATTAAAAATCTTATGAGATTAAAAAGTCTTGCGGATAATGTGATCTATTTAAAATTTTAAATTACCAGTTTGCAGGCTATAACTACAAGAGGGACTGTACTTAACAAATTCGATATTGTGTCTTGGTGATTTGTGCCCTCACATTAACCTGTAATAAAAAATAAATAAATAAATAAAATTATCAGCTTGTTTTAATTTAGCTTATACCTGGCATTCCAAGCCTCCAACTTTCTTTTTCCAAACTTATTGCTGTTCCCCTGTTCACAAATTTGACCCTTTCTCTTGTGCCCTGTGCCCCCTGGGCGTGGCAGTGTGGTGTTTGCCAGTCCTTCCTGTGGCCCATCCTACATACTGTGAAGTTTTAACCAGAATGTACCTTCCCTGGAGAATCTTCCCTGCTTCCCATACCAAAACCCAGCTGTCCTTCCTGCCTCTCAATTGGCAGGTCTCAGGCTCTGTCTTGTTTCAATACTAATACTAATTCTGTCATATATTTTTTTCTCCCTAGTCCAATAAAAACATCCTGGGGGCAGGATCCTTGTCTGCCCAGCCTTTGTATTCTCTATTATACTTTGCACACTATAGGTGCCCAGTAGATATTTCTAGAATTAAATGAGCAAAGTAAATATTTCTCATATATGCCAATCACTTTCCACCTCAGTAGCTGTGACCGCTGAGCCCCAGATGACCAGTAACCCATCTGAACACAGGAGGAAGTTGATGGGTGTGTAAGGGCACTACCTTTGCTGTGACCAAGAACTGAAATGGTGAAAACATAAGAATACAATTTTGATGGAGCAAACGTTTGCTGTCTGCACCCTACCCTCCTTCCATCACCAGCCTTTACTATTTGTAGGGTAGCTCTTACATTACTGTAATTTGTTTATCTCTTGAAGTTTAAAAGCAGACAAGAAAACAGCAGGGTTACTGTGGCTGTCATGGCGGGAGCTGTGCTCGCTGGGCCACTCTGGGGTGTTTCTTAGTGAAGGTCATTCCCTTTCCCCAAACACAGAATGAAATACTGTATTCCTTACTTTCAAGATTAATCCAGGGGCTGGCATTCACCAGAGAACAGTGGGGCTATTTGTCAACTAGCTTTAAATATTTTATGGCCAATACTTTACTGTACCCTGAAAAGCAGTCCTTTTGCCATCAATTTTGTTGTAGTAAGAAATATTTCCTTTTGTAGTTTAAGCCCTATTTCAAGCACAAAGACACCTAGTCCCGTTAAAGAGAAAGCCTTGGCTCCCTCCAAGGAATGTCAGGCCTATCCAGAGGCAGAAGCTGCAAACACTCCTTTTCCACAAAAGGTGCCAGGAAGCCCAGGACTGGGTTAGCGAGCCGGCAGCTCAGCCCTGGCAGGTAGCAGGCCTGCCTCTGAACAAAGAGGAGTCCACACCTGGGGTGCAGACAAAGGGAGGCCGCCACGGATACCCAATTCCCTGCTCGCGTCGCCTGCTGCTGGGGACCCCTAGTGGCGACACATGTTACAGGCACACGTATTCCTGCATTTTCTCTCCTAGCTGCAGAGGGACGTGGGTATTGATTGCCCTGAGTTTCCTATTTGCAACTTAGCTTGGGAGGCTCAGAAACACACACAGACACACACAGACACAGACACACACACAGACACACACACAGAGGAGCCAGAGGGAGAGCGTCTTTCTGAAGCACAAACCAGCATAGCGTTCAGAAACTCATTGAGTATGTTTTCTTCTGCTTATTGGATCTTCTGGCTTTGTTCCCTGACATTTTAGATTATAAAAATCTTTTCTGCCCTCAATGTCCTATGAGAAATCTAGGATAAACTAAAGTGAAGACAGCTCTAAGCCTGCTCTGGGCAAAAGGGTGAAGTGAGTTTGTTTTTCGTGTCTTCTGGGGGGTGCCTATGGCTTTCTGCACTTTTACTATCAAAATTTGCTTTCATAAAGGCAACTGGTGGATTTATTCTCTGCTAACTGTTCATTTATTCATGCATTCCCTAATGCACTTGGTAATGTTTATTGAACACTCTCTGTGTGTCAGGGAATGTGCTAGACTCTGGGAATAAAGAGATGAGGAAAACTGTATCCTTGCCCTGGGGGATCCTACAACACAAAGGCCTCCACTCCTTCCTGGGACATTTACATTTTTCCTAGGACAAAGTTTCAAAACAGCTACAGAAATGTTCTCTTAACTAGTAATTATAAGGATTATTTGTGCATGTGATGACTATTTTTTCAACAGTTAAAAAAAAAAAATCTCCAAAATCAAGCTTCAATGGCTAATTCCAGAGAGCTGGCATTTTCTCATCCACAGTTTGAGCTTGTTAGCCCCAGAACCAAACAATGCTGTACTCTGGAGTGGTCTCTGCCTTCACCCCCCACCCCCACCCCAGTCCCAGAAAATCTGAATCA